AGCTTATTTGCATGTACACATTTATACTTAACTTTTTATAGATTAGTCAGTCATAATACTTAATAAGAATCTATGGACGTAGAGTATGCAGTGTAACGGTACAAGTACCGAGCTCTGTGCTCTACAATGCTAATTTTAAGTTCACCACTACAATGATTGTTTAAATAAGTACACTGCTTCCTATTTGTTGATTAACACAGAAACAACATAGTTGTTTTTGTCACTCACAATTCCATTATAGATATGGAGACAAATAGTGATTTTTTATTTTATTAAATACCGTCTTTAAATGTTTTGCTGCACTTATTTTCAAAACACCTTATGTAATGATAAAAAGTAAAATCTATTTTTTAAAATAATATGGTCCGGGGCGATAACTAACGGAAACTCCGAATTGGGTTTCTTTACTTACTAAAAGTTTTTCTATAGTTTTGCAACTGTAGAAAAATTATTCGGGCCCAAATAAATTTCTGTATTCAAATTATATCTACAAATGAAATCTATATCGAGATTAATATTTATTTTACTAATTTACTTTAAATACCAAAGTTTCGAAGTGGTTTGTTTTAGTGTTTGCTGAATATTTACAACTAAAGTATTTTTCATACAATAAACGTAATTAACTAAAATTTGTACATTAAAATTTTTTAACCTCGTTCTATAACCATTTAGTAGCTAACGCAGAGAGTCAGTGTGATGTTTTCATATTTCCGGCTAATGTCAAACAGTAAGATAACCTATAAATACATTTTGTATATTGAATCATCCCACATGTTTTATGAACAATTATTACTTTTTACCCTTTAAAATTGAATTCCTAATTTAATTAAAATTAGCAGACTGCGTAGGTTGAAGAAAACTAGTTCATTAATCATTCACATTAGGGTTTTGCCATTTTCTACCTATTTTTCTGTGTGATTTTCTTAATTAAAGAAAATAAATGTATGCCACCTGTGGTAGTTTGGGCCGACTCCATATAAGTCGATCGTTCGTATATGCAATGGAATGTGGCAGTTTGCTTAATTGGTTTAGGTTTCGAGTGTTGTCCTCCTGGTCTGCTAATGTAGATATCTGCAAATTTTCAGATTATATAGTTCGTACGAAATCTAATGACTGCTAATGTAGTCTGAAAGAGTATCAGCATAGTATAGAAGTATGATCCATATTTATTATTTAACAAAATATTATTTCATATAGTTATTTATTTAACCTAATTAGGTGAGCTAGGTATACATTACATGAATACAAATACAAACAAAAGGTACAGTTGATATAATGATTTCACAAAATTAGATTCAAGTTCCAAGATGTATGTATCAAAGATAACAAAAGCTCCATAAATGAGGGTAGAGTTTATTAAACTTGTTGCATGATATACTATTGGCAACACTTTTTATAAAAGACACTGTGGTCACGAGTTTCTTTAGGGACTAGGGGAGCGAGTGTTTAATAAACAAAAACAAAACAAGCAAATACTTTTCCAGCTACCATATTGGGTACACTTTTGCAAAACAAGAAGAAAACATTCACCGAGTGACGTGTACGTGACGTTGTCGTGAGAAAAGAAGGATTTTTTTTAACTCTTCGAAATCCCGAAGTATTTCTCGAAATATTTATACCTAGCAACCGGGAACTAATATTGATACTTCTTAAAATTAACTAAAGTTTTTAGTTATTACTTTCTGAATCTGTTTGTGATAACTACTTAGAGGAAGCGAAATTAGTTTCGCTTCTAGAAAAAGTAAAAATAACAAGGAATTAGACTTTTTGAAAACCACACCGCTTTTTCCAAATTTTGCTTTAGAAGGTTGAAGTATCAAATTATAGGTATTGGTTTAAATTTGTTAACATATTTTAACAAGTTTTAAATATGGTAAAGTTGCAGCAATTTTAACTGTTGCCTTACCCGATTTGATACAATGGCAACTGAAAAAAAATTTAAAATTCAGTTTTGCCATGCGTATGCATAAACAGTTCAGTAGGTTTTAAACATTTCGTTTAAGCAACTTCATTTCGTTTGGACTTGTTTGAGAGTAATAAAAATGCGAGTTACGAGTACGAGCTCTGGGGGAGCATTGATATGCAATTCTGCTGCCACATATTCCGCTTTAGGAAGTACCTTTCCGGTTCGTGTAGTACCATCAGCAACACGAAATTTTGTGACAACGACCTTTGGCAACCTAGAGCTTCCGGAATAAACATGGTGAATACTAAAGTTAACTGGTTTTGTAACACTTTCACATTCGATTGGTATTTTTCCGATTCACATAGGACAATGCAATGATGAAGGGCATTTTATAAGGTACTAAAAACAAGGTTCATTCTTAACAAAAGACGTAATACCAGTTTGTAAACTACGTGTAGAAACTTACAAATCCATAAACATTTTCAAGGCAATCACTAAATTCCAAGAAGCAAATTCTATAAAGTTAAGTTTCCTTTTTTTTATGGTGAATTGTAAGACGCTTATGAAACACTTCAGACTTCGAGGCCCTTTCCATAAGCTACTGAGGGCCGGGTACCCTGAATCGCAAATAAATCTGAATTAAACCGACTTTCTATTAACACCTCTTTCGCTGAGCGACTTGTCGATATGGACTTATAGATTGGGTACTTGCTACTTTGTAAAGTTTCCTTGTCGCGAATTTGTTTCCTTGCTGAAAATAGTCCGGTCTTTTTAAATTAAAGTGTAGGCACTTGTATAAATTTCTAAATTCTGGACTGTAAATTAAGATGAGAATTACTTTCTTTAGTTGTATTATCAAATTTAATCTATGATAATATCTGGTGTCCTTATATAGTTGGAGGAACGAGAATTATTAATTTTTTTTATATAATTTCTACGTTACCAAGATCTAACAAAATTGAGAACAACCGCAGAATTAAGAACGGTATTTTATTTGCAATTTCCGTTTTTATCTTATCTGTCCAATACTGTATAATGCGAAAAAACACTACAAAACCTAAATTCTATTTTCAAGAGTTTCTTCTCTATTTTTTTTTCCATCCTTTAAATCCTCGGTTGTTGTTATAATGTCTTCTAAGTATTTTCATATTTCTCCTTTAAAATGCGGAGGTTAGTATACAAATCCATTCAAATATTTTAAAATAAATATTACACTAGTATTCTCTGATTTTAGAACCAAGAATAACAGATAAACTCACCTTCTGGATAATTGCATTTACTAATATCTAATTCACAATTCACAAATTTTGTAACTGTAGAGTGAGTTGGAAGGTTTCTAAATGCAATTTTATATAGTTTTTTCCAACCCAAATTGTTCCTATTTTCCGTATATAGTTTCCGGTTTTTTAAGTGATGAACAATCTTAAGAAAAAAGTTTCACCACATTTTTAATAATGAACAAAAAAATATGTGGACGATATCTGCACTGCCTGGGATAGCGGCTAACAAGACAAACATTTATTTTTCATTGAAAGAGAAAGTCGTTTCCCGATCTTGTATTAGTGAGGAAAAGTAAAAGAATTGAATTCGAGTTTACAATTTTATCATACATTTGCTTCACTTAACGCTTTGTTCCATAGGCTTTTTAACAATCCACTTTTAAAGAAAGCTGTTAAAAATTAATTAACGACGATTAGACTAGACTAATTCAATAACGCTTATTCAATTTGTTTCATTAATCACCATACATACAAATTGTCATAGCATATAATTCAACCCCCACAACGTAAATTCTAATCTTTGGTCTTCTTCGGTAATATTTCAATACACCTAGCTACTTGTTTACATATACTATATATTTATTAATGCAAACTATAACACTCCTGTTCAGTCTTGTTATGAGTTTTTATATTTTCATTCATTTCATAATCACAAAATTTTTTAATTCGTTTCCCAGATCACGGTCAAATCAAACGAATCCGTTTCAATATGCGTGTTTGAGTTGGAGTCTTTGTATCTGCATATTTATATAAAATATTTTATATTCTTAAAATTTTAAAAGCCCCGTGCGGGCCAAACACATGCAACGTTTTGAAAATAATTATTTTTGTGATTTTGACTTGCGTAGTTGTTTAGAGTTTTGCGAAAAAAATCGAGGATGGGCGATTTGTTTTATTTTGAAGCATTTCTACCAACTAGAAGTACGTATACTTCATGTTCTTTGACTTCCTTTTGGCATTTTTTTAACGAATTTTATTAAATTCAGAACGTGGATACTCAGTGAAGGACAGTAATGTTGTGAGGGACTGCGCAGCGATTGTATTCGAAAAACTGACAAAAAGTGTATAAAATGTAAACCTAAACTTTACAATTTGTTAGTAATTTTCTTAAACTGGATGTTAAACTTTTTTCTGCAAATGAACCTTGCAGGCTGTAAAATATATGTAAATATTTTGAATCATTTATAATTTTATTACAATAGATAGAGACCCATAGATTGTTTAGAAACAGAATAGAATACAGATTCCTTTTCAAACCGAAACCTTCAATTTCTATATTCGTATTTCAAAATTAGAACAACTCCATTCTGTACATTTTCAGTTTCCGAAATATTATCTATTATCTTTAAATCACATTGTAAAGTGTATTATAATGGAGTAGAAGCAACAAAAAATACCACTTAGCTAAAATGACAAAATGAATAAAGTAAACTAAATAAATAAAAAAAATAAAAATTATTTGAACTTTTCTATCGTGTGTAAGCAAAAAATATGCAAACTGCACTTTGTTAAGTTATTTCTAGGTTAATTATAATTTATATTTTTCAATTTTGCATTTAACTTTATCCCTTTTCCCAGCAACTTAGATTGTCTTCCAATGACTGCTTATTATTGACTACTATTGATCCCCGTCATAATGACTCGCCCGCGGTCGGATTTATTTCGCTATTCGTATTTTCCATATGTATGTCCCCGTCACCGGAGCAACAGAAACCTATACGCCATATTTCCCCGCCACATCCGGTGTACCACACGGTAGTTGGGCGAAGGTTTTCACTACACCTGACTTATATTATTATTCACCTGTTATTCACCGTGTCAAGCCAGCAAACGAGCTTGCGTGCGTATTGTTTTCTCCGCGGATTTTGCATTTTACGATTACTTTCCAGGCGGTACCGTCCTCAAACTTGCGTCTAAGTGGACTGTTGTAGTCAATGGACCCTCATGGACGTGATTTTTCACCATTATTTGGCGGCCCCACTTAGGTTGAAATATCTCGAGGACCGTTGACCGTTTAAAAGTGAAGTGGAAACGAATTGTTTTTGTTTTCGCGGGCAGCAGTTGGGGTTAACGACAGCCACTGGGGAAACTGCGGTAGTACGATGCCATCCGGAATTGTTTATAAATTTGATAGGTAATTATTGTTATTTACTTTATGTAACGCCGAATGCGACATGGCGGAGAATACTGCATAAAATATTAAATAAATAATTTAAAAATTTGTTCAAATAATAACCAAAATTACACACTACTGCTTACCTGTTTAAAGATACCCTTGTTTTGTATATTTATTAAGCGACCTCGTTATCAACTGAACGTTTACGCATGCTATGGCCGAAGCTATTGTTTTTTTTTTTTAATTTCTCGTTCACCAAAAGAAAATTAAAATCTAATACTTACCAATTTTAATTCAGGTTACAACAGTTCACCCAAAAATAATTAGTCGATAAAGAATTAGGAAGGACGCGTTTCAAATTTCCAAACGTCCGAAGAAGAAAACCGAGTTATGAATTGGATATTTCAAAATGAGAAAGTTGATTTTTATTTCTTAAAAGTAGAACTGGTGGTAAGCGACAGCCAAATTAGAATAGAATAGACTCTAATCTTGTCCCAAAAAGTGTTGGTTCTTATGAAATAACTGGAGATTGACGATTTAAGTTTTTAAAATGAAATTTAATCTTGTCACGCGACATAGAAAATCAAATTAAAGCAAAGCGTGTCATCCTTAAAGCGATTGCGAATACGAAAGGACTAAAGAGCGAAAGATCAGCAGAGTTATGCGACCTCGTTGTTTTTAAATATCATGGTGGCTGGTGCAGTAGAATTTAGTAATACTTATGATCTTTTTATGATTTATGATTGATCATATCCTTAGACTTTGCAAAATTTGCAAAATATAATTTTACAATAACAAATCCGCATAACTTTAATAATTTTATTCGATGTAAGTACATACTAACAACCTTGCAGGGCTTATGCAATTACATTTTATTATGCTAATTAAGCTGCAACTTTATTATCAATGAAACACACCTTATAACACGGCGAGAGTGTCTCGTGACTCAGCTTCTCGCAAGTACCTTCAATAAGTGCGGTAAAAAACACGGGAGTGTGTTTTGTAAGCTAGTTTGATATAACCAACCACGTCCTTAAATAGACTATTTGACACTCAACATGCTGAGTTTCTCGGAAAAACTCAGACGAAGAAATTCGCTGCGCATCTTGAACCCAATATAACTTTTATTACGTATCTGAAAGCTTACACGATCACACGCTGCATTAATTCCCATTGACGTTACATTAGATACTTCTAATTAAAATTCATACTTGCGCAATCAAATGAATTATAACTGCACAGTTATGATCTCGGTTGTGATTAATTCTTTGTGAAAATTATCCTGACGATCTTTGACTAAAGTACTCAAACATTACTGTTAAAAAAACCGTAGCTTTCGTCGAGGAATTAGTATAAAAGTATAATACAATACTTTTTATTGTATTGTATTGTATTGCTCTTTGTATAATTTGTAAAATTAGAAATTTCGAAAATACGCAAAGAATACTTGGTGTTGTTGTATTCGCCAGAGTGGCAGATAATTTGGTCATTATTGGATTAAGTGGTTAAACTTTTAGGATAGATTATTTAGGTAAAATTGAAAACTTTTCTTATAAACAAAGGACGTAATTTGCTTCGTTTATGAGATAAAAGATGTCAACTTTTTTCCAACAAACCGTTGTTTTACTAATTACTTATTTTGATAAGAGTCGACACGCTCATTTGTGTTACAACGGACGTGTAGTGTAATCCTAGAATATTGTTGGCCATAGTAACGAGGTTTTCAAAAATATATTTTTTTCTACTGCCGTCTGTAAAATACCTAATTACGAACCGATCTAGCGTGCGGGAAGCGTCGCTTTAACACAGCAGTTTCGTTTCCCACGAATCTGAGCCACTTCGGACATTTTCGGGATTTTACCGCACGGGTTTGGGAGCAATCGGATGTTTTCGGAGATATTTCCCACACTTTGAATTCTGACGTTTGTCAATTCTGACACTCATGTCAGTGAATGTATTCGTGTTTTGCAAAAATGTACCCAAAAACTAACGGTCGTAGAAAAAGTATAGTATGCAATACGTTCGGTAAACTTTTTGACTCACTCGTTTATTAAACACTCGCTCCGCTCGTGTCAAATAAACTCGTGAGTCAAATGCCGTTTACCGCACTTGTTGCATAATATGCTATGAACGCCATTGCTTTTGTAAAAACTTTGACAGCTCGATCTTGAGAACTAAGCTAGGACCAGTCAGAACACATATTTATAAAGAAGAAAAGTATCATTTTTACCTAAATAATTCATCCTAAACTTTTAATCGCATACTGTCCTGGTAACCCGGTAAGTTTTTTATATTTTTTGCTGTTTAATAATTTTATGATTTTCATTTGGTGTATTAGGTTCTGAAAAAGTTTATTTGTGAGTTAAATAAAAGTTTATTAATTTTTTGTGTGATTTGTGTCTTACTGCAAATTTAATTGACAGATTTCCCGGAGTACTTTTAATATCCATTATAAACTTTTGAGCTTGTGGCTTTTTAATTTCAATTAACTGTTTATCTAGATTATTTTTTCTTTTTCTGTATTTGTTTTTAAGAATCTTTCATCTTAATTTATTAAATTATATGGAAGGTTTTTTTTTATGTTGATTATTTTCACTGTTTGCGTGTTTTCTATAATAAGATTTTTTTATTTCATTTTCATTTTCATTATAGTTTATATTTTATCGTTATTGTTTTGACAATAGGAGCCTGATAAATACACTACGTGATTAATTTATTTTATTTATTGGGTGGATTTTAGTTACCTAAGTCTGAATAGTCTCAGCTGTCTTTTTGCAGTTGATGGCTCCTCCCATACAAACCTCTATAATCTGTAGTTTGCTAGTTTTCTTACGTGGCCGGATTTTATTTTCATTATTATATTAGTGATTCCGAAAAACTCTTCCAGTTCTTTGTTGGTTCTCATCCTCCATGTTCCGATCGTCTCACTGCCGACCCAAAGATTTTTCAGAGGACTTTCTCTCCCATATGCGCCAGTCCATGTCTCGTAGCAGTACATAACTACTGTCGTTTTCACCGTTACATATAGGTTGGAAATTGATCTTGGTTAACTCTTTCAAAGTTGTAGTCTTCGATAGTTAAATTCCAATCAATTCTGTCTCTGTTCTGGGCCTTCACGGTTGTGCACATATATTTTTGTTGATTTGGAGCCATCTTTTCTGATTCCTTCTCGAATCTTATAAAATATTCCCTCATCTTTATTCTGCTTTTTGTTATCTCATCAACATCGTTTGCCAAGGCCAATATTAGATTTGCACCTTCTCGATGGAATACTGAAGCAAAATTCCTCGTTCTCCTTATTATATATTCCAGATGTATATTGAAAAGATGTAAAAACGGATCTCCTTACTTTAGATCACTGTTTACCGTGAATGACTCTGGGTATTGTTGTCCTATCCCAACTTTGTACTGTGCTCCTTCCGTACACATTCTTATGAGAGTGACCAGTTTTTTGGGGAAGTCAAGTTGTCTAATGGTAAAAATCTGGTCAGTAGCTAAACGTCCGGGTCTGAATCCGCATTGATAGTATCTGGGTATTCTTTTAGTATGTGGTTTGGTTCTTTCAGAAAGAACTTTATAAGTTATGTTTGAGAAGCGCGATTCTTCTGTTTTGGTACCCTGCTTTCTTTTTGTTTCCATTTTTTAGTACAACAGCAACTTCCTTCCACTTTCATTGTATCATTTTGAGAGATACTTTGTATCAGAATATAAATAAATCTATAAAGTGCTGCAGACAATCGGCAGCGATGCCAGCACTCTCCGGAGCCTTATTATTTTTGAGTCTTTTGATTGCCTGTAGTACTACCCGGTATGAAGGTGACTAGTCTTCTATTTCAGCAGTCTGTACTTCTTCATTTGAGATGGTTGTACTAATCTGTCGTTGAACAGTTGGAGAAGGTATTCCTTCCAGGTTTTCAGAATTTCCTAGTCGTTACTTATGAGCTCCTGGTTGCCTGTTTCCAGTTCTTGGTTGATACCGGGATTTGACCATCGCGACTCCTTGGAAGTATTGTCTTGCTTATCGGTTTTGTTCGCTCTGTTCCAGTTCCTTAATTGTACTTTTTTAATGTTCCCGTTTTACCTTATCATCAATTTTCCTGCCTGTTGAAATCTCCTTGTGTTGGATGGATTTGACTTTTGAAGTTTTTCCTTCAATTATTGTTTCTCTCATTTATTGCTTTCAAGCAGGCATCGCCAAACCATCTCCTTGTTTTCCTCTTCCTGGTTCCAAGTATTTCGCTAAATGTACTTGTCAATGTCAATTTAATCGATGCTGTTATCTGACTTATTATTTTTTTGCTTGAACTATCAATATTGCACATTATTGTTGGTGTAATTCGGGTGTTCTTTTGGCTCCACTCAGACTTCGTACGTCCAAGCAATTATTATCTGATTTCTGATGGCATCGTTAAACGCCCAGACTTCTCTGCGTATGTTCTTATATTAGGACATGGTTGACTTTATTAGGAGATTGTGGAATTTTGTTGTACCTATATGAATAATTGTGTTTCCGAGGGACAATGCTTTTAAGATGGGCTTTAACTTGAAAAGTGGTAATTAGTTACTACTACTAATGAAAGTTCGTTAATTTTTTCGCTTCTGTTTTACAAGAACGTTATCTTACTGAAGGTGGGTCCAGAGAACCATTACCGGTTAATTTAAAACATTTTAATTAAATAACTATAAAAAAAACATCCTCTCTAATGCATCTTATGTTAATGGATTTTGGAATTTCGCAAGGCCGCGCTTTATTAAAAAAGTGCAATTCCGGTGTTTACGACATTGTTAATTAGTCGCGTTGCTTTCAACACTATACATATACACATTTTTCAAAGAAGCTTCCGCAGGCTACTGTAGTGCTATTCACAACCCATCTGGATCAATTCTGGTTCAGTTGTTGATAACATGAGTACTGACAAACATTCTGTTGGTTTCTTCAGAGCTCAACTGAAACTGGTTCCGATCAGGATTTTCAACAACCCTGTTGAATTTGTAAGAATTTTTGCCAGAATGATAACCAGTTTTCGAAAATCAGTATAATATATTTTTCTAGATAGACAGTAAGAGGTGTGTCAAGAATAAAATGCACAGGTCTTAAGGTTTACAAATCAGAACTATCACTAGTAAGTATTTAAGCAGGTCTAGAGTTGAGAATTGTATCTATTTGACAAAGCACAGTGTTAAATTTTTCACTTCATTTAAAAATTCGAATAACATGTTGATAACAAATTCTTAATATTCTTTAAGTTGTTTTTGCTTCCTGAAAGTTTGTGATGAGCTTAAAAGCTTTTCTCCAAAAAAATGTTCAAGCGAGCTTATGAAACGAGTTTTTGTATGTACAGAATGAGGCACTGTTTCTGTGCATAATTTGATTTAAAGATATGCGTTAACTAGGTAAATTCTTAAGTTTCATGAATGTACGGAATAGAATGTTCACATTTTTATCATTTTGTAAAATGCTTGTACTGAGATTCTCCACCATTAACTAATTTAAATGTTTTTTTTGTTCTTGTTTGTATTTCGGGTTTTATAACATACTCTTTTATACAAAAGGCCTTTTTGTATCCCTTGAAATATATTGGCAAATTTCACTTAACACAAATTATCCCTAGGCAAAAAGTCCTGCCACGTTTATTTATTTATTCAAAATTTTGTAATGATTGAAATGATTGAAATTTCTGGACTTTTCTCGATTTTCCATGTCATTTTTGATTTTATGCTACCATTAGAATCAATCCATGGTCTTGATTTGGATAAAAAATGAGGGTCTGCACAATTTTCTACAATGTTATTGCAAAGTGAAATAGGAAAATTGCCTAATCATTTACACCAAACAGCTATTGCTATTGCCTACATGAATTCATACAATTTATTAATTTTTATAATATTAACGTAGAAAACTTAAATAAATCTCATATGATCTATGATTTGTGGAATAAATTTTGAAAGTCATGTATTCCAATTCCAATTCGCCCATCCGTGATGGTTCTGATGTTTAAAGATATCTCAACTAATTAATGCGAAAACATTGGTTGAAAGAGTAGAATTTGATTTTTTGATGAGGTTCAATTTTGATAAAAAAAATTAATGGTCGTCCGCACATAGTTATTATATTTGATATTATTATTATTGATCTATTTATTTATTAACTTTACAAATAACATATAAAATGAACAATAGTGAATACATAAAAAATTTAAGTTTAATCAACTGTGTTTTTAATTTTATAATAGAAAATATATAACCCAATCACTGTAATAAATCGTTTATCTAACTATTGCATAATTTCTATAACTAACTGGCCATTGGTTTGCTTCTAAATTTCAGTGAGCTATACAATGGCAAAAGTAATAATTTATTACGTCAATATAAAACCTAATTTTTTCTATATGTGGCAGTGCCACTTCGACAGCACCTAATCATTTCGTCAATATTAGTATTATTATAAACATATAACATTGAAATTGCCGTCTATGCAACGCTAACTATGTGCTATTGTAGAGAGTAAAAAATCAAACATCGAAAAATATCGTGAGAATCTGGTACAGTATGAATTAATATAAGAAAAAATAAAATATACCAGAAGCAGCTGAAGAAATTTATTTGCGGAAAAAGAAAGAAATCCAATTAAAAAAAAATCCATTTCCAGTTTTACACAACCTATTTTCTTTAATATTAGAAAACATAAACAAAATCAAATTGATGCATACTTACAGCTGCATATGACCAGTCTTTATTGTTACTTGATAAGATTTCTATTAATTCAATTACCTGCAATTACAAGTTATTTGCGAGGTTGCAAATTACCAATACCGATATTCAAATATCAATTGATCTCTTTCATTTGATTGATTTGATTTGATCAATTGGTTTCTTGAGCTACAACTTTAGGTCACTAAATATTAGAAAAGCAAAACTCGCCTGGTAAATAAAAACGAAAAACAGTTCTTTCTTTTTAACTTGACAAATCGATTTCGTTAACCGAGGAAACCATGATCACCAAATGTTGGTTTTTTAATACATAGTGGTCATAAAAGTTATCTATAAATATCCTGAATCTTGGTAATTGAAGGATATTGCCCAATTAAGTAAATATTCCTTTACGGAAGCGATTAACCACCCGGATATAATATAACTTTTTGGCAGAATTGTTTTATTGAATCATGACCCGAAGGAAACGGGCTTCCCAAACAGACTTTACAAAAGAGCATATTTAAGAATGGAGTATTTTATACCTAAGCATTTTTCCATACTTTTTACTAATGGTGTATAGCAAACCTTGTCATGTCGAATACAATTTATTGCCATATCGTGGTTATCGGCTCCAGTGAATAAAATTAGACAATAATTCGCAAAATCGTCCTTATTAAGCGTAGTATATAAAATGCAACCTTAAGTCAGAAGCACGTCACTTCCTCAAGTAATTACGCTAGAAACGCGTTTTAAGAAATCAGCGGAGCAAGAACAAAGTAAAAGGATTTCTTCAACTGGTCACATTCAATGGGCACAAAATTATTCATGACTGCGGATAATAAGCTGGTATGGCACACGTCCGACGTCCGATGAGCGTCTTTGAAAAAGTCTTTAGTTCGGGCTGCTGTCAAGCGGAAAAAATTGCTAACACTTCTGCAAATTTCAGAATCAAGATCTCTTCCATTTTAATTCGCAATGGTAGATTAAATAAATTGATTTTACTTTATTAACGGCTACGTACTCTACCATAACAACGCTACATCATCAACGGCGGTAAGATTTGAAAATGAATTATTCGTTCGTTCAGCAGATAAAAGCAATGCAAAGCATGCCCAGTATATATAACGTACCTATTTGGCATTTGTGAATGTAGAGAAGTTTACCGCTGAGGCAACATTTGTGACAATATTGCGGAAATCAGTGAATGCCGCGTGATTGTACAAATTGCTATGCTATTGTGGCACAAGAAAAGACTAGGGGCATTAAGTTAGAACAAATTACAGTCACTAGAGCTTTGAAGATAATGCTGTGTCGCACTCTTGGATATAAACAAAGGGGAAGTAATTTTGCTGACCACCAAATCTCTCAAAGTTAACAGTGTGCCGTATATGGGTAATATGACCATGACCAGGAACAAGTAACGTATAACCCAAGATATTTTAAATGGACATATCTTATTTAACAAACACCAATTAGTATAAGTGTGAAGCCATGCAGGCCGAATTTTTGAATAAGAAATGGAGGAAGCGCAATGACATTAATCAAGCTCAAGTGTTGTGGTGCAAACCACTTTCCTTCACTTGCAGAAACAGAGAATCATTGAAAGTTTGCTATATATATTACGTACGTACTGCAGTAGTTTCCTGTATATTTTTCCATCATACATACAGCGTCCATAAGTAATGATAATACAAAATTTTCATTCTTTTATAGAAAAATTTAATGTCAAATATTTCTGTAAGTAATTTAAATTTAATGTTTTAATGTTATTTCCTGAAGTCGATTTGAAACGACTCACGATTTGCAATCAAAAATACCCAACAACTTGCCCGAACACACCGTTCACTATACGGTATACTTTTAAAATAGGGGATAAAGCTGAAACAAAATACAACATAGCCTTAATATAATACTAGAAAAATAATTAAATAACTTGTTAGCTCATTTACTGAAGTAATGTATTTACACGATATTTTTTTTATTTTCAGCGAAGGATTATTCACTGGGTCAGAGAATAGCATTCCTCTAGATTACGCCAAGGTATGTTGATAGTGGCTCACCTAACAAAACTTTAATAGTACCTAATTATTATAGATTGCCGTCGAATTTAAAAATATTTTACCATCTTGTGATTCCCTGTTTTGTTTAGAGCGTTTTGCTGTCATTGCTTAATTCACATTTGGAACCCACATTTAAAATACACAATGTCAACAAGTCTGAATCATCAAAAGTGATGTTGAATTGGGGTTTTATCGCCATTTAAACCCGTGTCTCTTTAAGTTTTTTTTGGCTGGTTAAAAAACACAAACACAATTTTTTTTGACATCCATTGATTATAACTAACCTAACAGTATTACAAAAAGGCGCGAGATCTAATTAATTGCTTTAAAAGTTCGGAGGTCATAAGAAAAATTATAAATCCTTATTGAAATTTTCTGAATTAGTATTGAAATAATTTTGATTATATTAGTTAAATAAACAACAATTTCCTACAAACAACAAACAAAACCATAAAAACAATTTTCAAAAAGCTTTTAATGCTCTATTGCCCACTTAAAATGAAGAACTTCTCCAAAGAATTTAAAGCTTAAAAAACAGACTATGCCCAATATTCTTATCACCCTTTGTCACCTTTGCCAACATCAGTGGTGAAGCTTTTTAATGTTATTATTCTTGACTTTTATCAACTTAATAGTGTCTATTTTAACTAATAAATCAAATAGTTGTTTGGAAGTTTTAATGGGTGATTATCCCCACTCTTTCAAAAAATTGATTTTGCAAAATTGATTTACAAAAAAATTGATAATTTAATTGTTAATATAAATTTATTTTTTGTTTATGTGAAATATTTTACAATATTTCAAATAGTATTTTTTATTAAATTAATAAACAAAACAACGGTACATGTAGGCGCTGCCTTTAATTTTCAATGTCAATTAAAAACCTTTTCTTTATACGATTTTTCATTTTGCCGCACATAGTTTTAGTGGCCAAAACCGAAAAGTATAATATGATACAGTTGCAGATACATATTGTTCTACGAAAATGCAAAAAATTATATTTTTCTACTCCCCTAAAATTCCCAATTACACAGATCAGGCGTGCGCAAAATGTAACGTGAAGAAGACAATTTTTAGAGAAAATCTCAGCTTTAAGTGGTAGCCTTTAACAACCATATTTCGTAATTGAATATAAGTAGCAGTGATTTCTCTTCGGTCAACAGGTTTCCGATATACAACCACTTTCAAACAAGCTGTTAATATATTTTTTTTTTGGTTTACCATACAAAAAACTGATTTGCTGTCACGCAAAATAGTATATTAAGCAACAAGTTTGATAAAAGGTATAAATGCGTATTTTAAAGTAGGGAATAGAAAAAGAGTATAGGATACAATTATTCATGGTCGGTGATAACCAGTGATAACGTCAGACTTCGAGACGGAAATCGAAAACGAAAGGAGTAAATACGATAGGGACCGACATCTTTCGGACACGTGTGTTGTTTTCTGACTTGACATGTGCCTCGGGCTGCTGTCGTCAATCGCAACTAACGACAATATTATTTACGGGAAAGATATTTTAATCCAGATTATACTACAATGCGCTATTAATTGCGATGATGATTTAATACTTACTTCTATCAGTTCGATATTTGGAATCAGGGAAGATGCCATTTGTTTAATTCTAATTTTAAGGAACATAACTAGGCAACTTAAAATTTCGATTAATAATTGGTAATATATATATATATATATATATATATATATATATATATATATATATATATATATATATATATATATATATATATATATATATATATATATATATATATATATATATATATATATATATCCTCTTGATACATTAATATATTTTGAAAAAAATTTTCTGTTATTTCCCAAATGATTAAAAATTATTTAGGTAGGTTAAAGTAGAGCTTCAGTTTAAAGTTGCTGTACTCTTGCAGACTTAAGTTTAGATTTAGACTTCATCCAGCTTCCAGGAAAACAGGACATGAAATATAATAGTGACAAAATTTTAATTTTTTTCTTAAAACAACAGACAAATTGTCTATGGTGTGCTGATGTATATTGTCTAGGCAATATACCCTCATTGCTTAGCCCCGTAATAAACTATGGTGTCAATTGTCAAGGCTGCGAAATATAAAAGAAACATCTGTACGGGATGCTTTGAGGGTCGAAAACGTCGGTAAATTGACAGATGTGTGTGCACGCTGAGCCGGAAGACTCCATACCCGATACTGTATAGGATGTCCGTCCCAACAGTGCTTACTCGATTAACATTAAATTAAATGTAGTGATTCAGAAAAAGATTTAAAACTTGCAACCTATAAGATAATGCTTATTGTTATATAACTATTTGAATTTTGCTAGAGATCAATGACATATGTTATGATATATGTTTTAGAATGCTTCTACGACCACTATGCAAACCAATATACTACTAAATAGAAACACTTATTTACCATACCTTTGTCTAATATTTCGATTTGTCTCTATTACCTTATTTCTTAAAATCAACTTATTAAGTTTTCAAAATGAAATTTCAATATACTCTATTTGTCATATATGGTCTGTTCATAGTATAAGACAGTGACCAATTGCTTTTGAATGGAATTCTCCAAGGGTGGTCATTAACATACAATGCAACAAGATTATTATTTATTATTTTCTATTACAGACCACAATTTTACCTGAATTTAAATTCCGAAACTTTAGGTAATAATCTTGTTGCATTGTATGTTAATGACCACGCTTGGATGATCCCATTCAAAAGCAATTGGTCACTTTCTTATATCTATGAACAGACCATACCTTTCGCCGATAGTTGTCAGATATATACATTTATCACTACTAGGACGCCCAGTATACATACAATGTAGAATCGAATTTGACGCCCCCGAACATATGTTCGTTTCCCTGGGTGTCGTTTCAAACGACAAGGCAAGAGTTGTTAGGGGACTCAAAATATTTCGCCACACATTTTGTAATCTGTAATTTAAAAATTACATTGGTACTTAATTAGCCATGTTTTTTCAATTCGTATTTCAATATCTACGAGTAAAGGTATATATACAACTATATATACAAGGTGACTAAAGACTATCTAACAAAAACTTTTGAACATGCAAATTTGTTAAGTTAAGGAACCTTTTTTCTGGTACCACGTCGGAATCTTAAGATTAATGATGGAATTTTTACTCGCCAAACAATAACGAAAATTACCTTAAGTTAATGTAGGTAAAAGTGAATCAATCCCCATTTAATATTTAAAGTAGTATAGGTAGTAACCCAAAATCAGATGCTGTAAACTTCTTAGGCATTTTACTTCTGTTGTTTTTAATATCTTTATTACAAGCGTTAGCTGAAGATGTGCACTCAAGTGCTCGAAACGTGTACTAACATCTTTAGAAAAAAAGGATTTTACATTAATTAAAGTTAATTTTATCAATTGTTAACACAAGTTATCATTTCAGAATTAGAAAAGCAGTAGCCGAAAAATATGTCAGTTTTTTAATTACGGAACTTACAGCAATTTTGGTATGGTTAAAATCGGTAGCCCATACTCGAAAAATGCGATTTTTTTTATTGTGTTATTGTTCTATTTGCGGTTTCACAAAACTAGAACGATTTAAACACGCTTACCAGTCAAGTCGCTTAGACGGGCATTATTAGACATACGAAGACGTCAACTCAACTTAAGAGTGTGAGTGGGAATTGTTAATTAATATTTTGCAGTTCTATAAAATGATGTAAAATGGCGTAAGTATTGGTAGAAAACTGATTATTAAAATACAGATTTGTACTATTTTTAACTATATATATATATATATATATATATATATATATATATATATATATATATATATATATATATATATATATATATATATATATATATATATATATATATATATATATATATATATATATATATATATATATATATATATATATATATATATATATATATATATATAATATCTGTCCTAGTCTAGGTATGCCAAACGATAACGAATTTAAAAAAAATAGCAAATATATACTCTTTTAGAAAAAATCAATCAACTAAAGACAGTTTATTATTAGAACAACGCATCCGTACGCATATGCCCATACCCGGACGTTTAATAATAAAGTTCGTAATGAATATAACACAAAGATGACACTTGATAGGGTCGATGTAACCTTAAGCCCTAAAATAAACATTCCGAGAGGCAAGACATGCTTTCGACACAATAGAGGAAACCGAAAAAGATCTTTTTGTTCGATATTATGGAACGCTCAAATTGATATTTAGAATAGATTATAAACTCCCGATGCGCTTGATGCAAGTTCTTTGCGGACAACATTTAAATGACAATACGCGCTCTAATTGGCTTTGATATTCTAATACGGAGAAACGAAAAAGGAGTTAAAAGGAATGCGTGCTTATAACACAAAGAAGAAAGCCTCCGCTACAATACGTATTTATGAGCAATTTTCACTAATATTTATGAGAAAGGATTAAGGCAAAACAGAGTGGTGACTTAATAAAGTCAAAAAAACCTCTCCATTTGGAAGCGATCAGAGGTTTTCGATAGATATTTAGTTTCAGTTGTATGTAAACATACATGTACATTAACGAAAATAAAAGTTAAATCAGCCCAAGTTCTCTATTTGCAGGCGTAGCGAATATGGAGTGGTAGATAAAAGTAAATAGGTGGTCATGTGCGGTAGAAAGAAATTGCCCCTACTGTACCGCTAACGTAAGTGGGAACTACATTTTACAGTCAAAATACGAATTTGCGAGAATTCTCACAGATGTAGTTGTTTAGTTTAGTGTTAACAACTTTTACGCACTATATGTAATAATTTGACTAGCATCTTCATTTAAACAATTCCAGTTAAATTCCAGTTAAACAATTTCACGTTGTGATATGGTTTTTTCTTCTTTAAAAAAGTCAAATTAAAAAAGCTATTATTAGGATTCATTTATTTAAATTAAATTAAATTTAAATTTAAAATGTTTATGTTTTC